ACAAAGTGCAAGATTTTGATACACACATTTATTGCTGAATTTATTCACACCGCTGACAAATTCAGAGGTTAAGATGTTAAGATGATGATGCATGATTATAGAAAAAAGCCTTTATCAGCCTTTATTTTCTTTTCAACTAAAACTTTAAGTCAGGTGCATTTAAATAATTCCAGGCTTGACTGTATAAAATCAATAGTGGAGAAATAATTCACCTTAAACTAAACAACCTCTAATAAATGAATGAAAGACTGATCATTTATTAACTTTCTGAACTGAAGCGCACTGACACTATCACATGTCTTCAATGTCTTTATCCAAATCATCTCATATCTATTGAATTCTGCTTGATTGTTATTCTGGTTCTTCATTTTTTGCCAGCACTACAGAAATCAAACTTGACTTTTAAAACACCAAAAACACAAGATTCCCGACTCCGGCGGACAGATTAAACCCAGATAAACAGCACAGACTCAATCAAACTGAGCAGACTGGAGGAAAGAGTGTCATTAGACGTGGTTTATTTCTCTGAAGAGTCACATATAAAACATTCCACTGAGAATAAATGTGCAGATCATCATTAAAGCACAGCTCACACACACATCCTCATCATTTACTCACTCCAGCGGCTGTAGAGGAGGATTTCTGATGAACACAAGATAAACCAGCAGCCACTGACGTCTATAGCAGGAACACAAATCCTGTCTGTTTTCTTCAGAATATCTCCCTGTGTTCAACAAAACACTTCAACAGGTCTGACGTTTTCATTTCTGTGTGAATTGCGCCTTTAAAGCAGTTTGTGGCTGTGATGTCACTTCCTCTTGTTCCTCTTGAGGGCCTTCCATTCTCCTTCCTGTGTGGCCAGACTGCCGTACAGCTCCTTCACCTTCCTCTTCCTCTCAGTGTCCCTGAAACACACAAACACAGCCACAATCGTCCATATTAATAAACACTAAACTCGACATATCTATTGATCATAAACATCATGCATCTGTCATAAATCTGCCATAAACATCATGCATCTATCATAAATCTGCCATAAACATCATGCATCTGTCATAAATCTGCCATAATTATCATGCATCTTTCATAAATCTGCCATAAACATCATGCATCTGTCATAAATCTGCCATAAACATCATGCATCTGTCATAAATCTGCCATAAACATCATGCATCTGTCATAAATCTGCCATAAACATAATGCATCTGTCATAAATCTGCCATAAACATAATGCATCTGTCATAAATCTGTCAAACATAATGCATCTGTCATAAATCTGCCATAAACATCATGCATCTGTCATAAATCTGCCATAAACATCATGCATCTGTCATAAATCTGCCATAAACATCATGCATCTGTCATAAATCTGCCATAAACATCATGCATCTGTCATAAATCTGCAATAAACATCATGCATCTGTCATAAATCTGCCATAAACATCATGCATCTGTCATAAATCTGTCATAAACATCATGCATCTGTCATAAACATAATGCATCTGTCATAAATCTGCCATAAACATCATGCATCTTTCATAAATCTGCCATAAACATCATGCATCTGTCATAAATCTGCCATAAACATCATGCATCTGTCATAAATCTGTCATAAACATCATGCATCTGTCATAAATCTGCCATAAACATAATGCATCTGTCATAAACATCATGCATCTGTCATAAATCTGCCATAAACATCATGCATCTGTCATAAATCTGTCAAACATAATGCATCTGTCATAAATCTGCCATAAACATGCATCTGTCATAAATCTGCCATAAACATAATGCATCTGTCATAAATCTGTCATAAACATCATGCATCTGTCATAAATCTGCCATAATTATCATGCATCTTTCATAAATCTGCCATAAACATCATGCATCTGTCATAAATCTGCCATAAACATCATGCATCTGTCATAAATCTGCCATAAACATCATGCATCTGTCATAAATCTGCCATAAACATAATGCATCTGTCATAAATCTGCCATAAACATAATGCATCTGTCATAAATCTGTCAAACATAATGCATCTGTCATAAATCTGCCATAAACATCATGCATCTGTCATAAATCTGCCATAAACATCATGCATCTGTCATAAATCTGCCATAAACATCATGCATCTGTCATAAATCTGCCATAAACATCATGCATCTGTCATAAATCTGCAATAAACATCATGCATCTGTCATAAATCTGCCATAAACATCATGCATCTGTCATAAATCTGTCATAAACATCATGCATCTGTCATAAACATAATGCATCTGTCATAAATCTGCCATAAACATCATGCATCTTTCATAAATCTGCCATAAACATCATGCATCTGTCATAAATCTGCCATAAACATCATGCATCTGTCATAAATCTGTCATAAACATCATGCATCTGTCATAAATCTGCCATAAACATAATGCATCTGTCATAAACATCATGCATCTGTCATAAATCTGCCATAAACATCATGCATCTGTCATAAATCTGCCATAAACATCATGCATCTGTCATAAATCTGTCAAACATAATGCATCTGTCATAAATCTGCCATAAACATGCATCTGCCATAAATCTGCCATAAACATAATGCATCTGTCATAAATCTGCCATAAACATCATGCATCTGTCATAAATCTGTCATAAACATAATGCATCTGTCATAAATCTGCCATAAACATCATGCATCTGTCATAAATCTGTCATAATTATCATGCATCTGTCATAAATCTGCCATAAACATAATGCATCTGTCATAAATCTGCCATAAACATCATGCATCTGTCATAAATCTGCCATAAACATCATGCATCTGTCATAAATCTGCCATAAACATCATGCATCTGTCATAAATCTGCCATAAACATCATGCATCTGTCATAAATCTGTCATAAACATCATGCATCTGTCATAAATCTGTCATAAACATCATGCATCTGTCATAAATCTGTCATAAACATCATGCATCTGTCATAAATCTGCCATAAACATAATGCATCTGTCATAAATCTGCCATAAACATAATGCATCTGTCATAAATCTGCCATAAACATCATGCATCTGTCATAAATCTGTCATAAACATAATGCATCTGTCATAAATCTGCCATAAACATCATGCATCTGTCATAAATCTGCCATAAACATAATGCATCTGTCATAAATCTGCCATATACATAATGCATCTGTCATAAATCTGCCATATACATAATGCATCTGTCATAAATCTGACATATACATAATGCATCTGACATATATCTGCCATAAACATCATGCATCTGTCATAAATCTGTCAAACCTAATGCATCTGTCATAAATCTGCCATAAACATCATGCATCTGTCATAAATCTGTCAAACATAATGCATCTGTCATAAATCTGTCAAACATAATGCATCTGTCATAAATCTGCCATAAACATCATGCATCTGTCATAAATCTGCCATAAACATCATGCATCTGCCATAAACATCATGCATCTGTCATAAATCTGCCATAAACATCATGCATCTGTCATAAATCTGCCATAAACATCATGCATCTGTCATAAATCTGCCATAAACATCATGCATCTGTCATAAATCTGCCATAAACATCATGCATCTGTCATAAACATCATGCATCTGTCATAAATCTGTCATAAACATCATGCATCTGTCATAAATCTGTCAAACATAATGCATCTGTCATAAATCTGCCATAAACATCATGCATCTGTCATAAACATCATGCCTCTGTCATAAATCTGCCATAAACATAATGCATCTGTCATAAATCTGCCATAAACATCATGCATCTGTCATAAATCTGCAATAAACATCATGCATCTGTCATAAATCTGCCATAAACATCATGCATCTGTCATAAATCTGCCATAAACATCATGCATCTGTCATAAATCTGCCATAAACATAATGCATCTGTCATAAATCTGCCATAAACATCATGCATCTGTCATAAATCTGTCATAAACATAATGCATCTGTCATAAATCTGCCATAAACATCATGCATCTGTCATAAACATCATGCATCTGTCATAAATTTGCCATAAACATCATGCATCTGTCATAAATCTGTCATAAACATAATGCATCTGTCATAAATCTGCCATATACATCATGCATCTGTCATAAATCTGCCATAAACATAATGCATCTGTCATAAATCTGCCATAAACATCATGCATCTGTCATAAATCTGTCATAAACATAATGCATCTGTCATAAATCTGCCATAAACTTCATGCATCTGTCATAAATCTGTCATAATTATCATGCATCTGTCATAAATCTGTCATAAACATCATGCATCTGTCATAAATCTGCCATAAACATCATGCATCTGTCATAAATCTGCCATAAACATCATGCATCTGTCATAAATCTGCCATAAACATCATGCATCTGTCATAAATCTGCCATAAACATCATGCATCTGTCATAAATCTGCCATAAACATCATGCATCTGTCATAAATCTGCCATAAACATCATGCATCTGTCATAAATCTGTCATAAACATAATGCATCTGTCATAAATCTGCCATAAACATCATGCATCTGTCATAAATCTGTCATAAACATCATCCATCTGTCATAAATATCATGCATCTGTCATAAATCTGCCATAAACATCATGCATCTGTCATAAATCTGTCATAAACATCATGCATCTGTCATAAATATCATGCATCTGTCATAAATCTGCCATAAACATCATGCATCTGTCATAAATCTGCCATAAACATCATGCATCTGTCATAAACATCATGCATCTGTCATAAATCTGCCATAAACATCATGCATCTGTCATAAATCTGTCATAATTATCATGCATCTGTCATAAATATGTCATAAACATCATCCATCTGTCATAAATCTGCCATAAACATCATGTCATAAATCTGCCATAAACATCATGTCATAAATCTGCCATAAACATCATGCATCTGTCATAAATCTGCCATAAACATCATGCATCTGTCATAAATCTGCCATAAACTTCATGCATCTGTCATAAATCTGTCATAATTATCATGCATCGGTCATAAATCTGCCATAAACATCATGCATCTGTCATAAATCTGTCATAAACATAATGCATC